TTTGAATATAATATTACTACGCAAGCATAATTACATGTTATGGATACTATTTAACATTAAATAACATACGCATACTACTTTCGATAGTCATTTAATAATGGTTCAAGATATTGATAAATTTCCAGTGACGTTCCAACAAGTCTTAAGTAAAATGCACCAAGAGCTCTCAAATACCTGCATAAAACACAAACAGGCAACTATATCGAATCGGATAATTTTCTTTGACATTTCTGACAACCAATTAATTTAAATAAAGACATACTTATATTCCTCGTTCTTAATAAATTCTATAATAATTTCTTTACTTGGTTGTAATTGTAATAATTTTAGAGTTAAACAAAGAAATTCTGTTGGTTTCTGGTTTCCATATTGACCACCCAACGAAGTTAACGAAACTGCTCTATCGATTAGCGTTTCAGCTATTTTTTTCGAGGATTTGAAAGATTAGTATCAACTAGCAACTAGATCCGATAAGTAAACCATAAAATATTACCTGTTAAACCAAAACATGATTCTTTCCAATAAAGAGATTCGTAGATTCTTGTTCTGATGATTTTTTCGATAAGATATTGGGGATTTGTACCGTGTATTGCTATTGCGTCTGATACTGTGCGATTTGCCATTTTTACAAGTTAATAATGCTCGTTCAACTGATTTATTTATATTTAATCTGATTGGTCAAATTCGATTCATGTGATTCGTGTTGCTGATGATCAGTTGTACATATACTAGGAAATCAGGATCTGATAAAAGTCCGAAGCAAAAGTCTCTAATATTAAGCCACGCAAAGTTAATTTTTGGGGAAATTACAAATAAGGGCCCAAAATTGAAAATAATTACAAATAAGGGCCCAAAATGAAAATAATTACATATAAGGGCCCGATATTTGAAAATTATTACAAATAAGGGCCCAAAATAATTTTGCACTTAATACCCGTGATCAAGCCCCGTAGACCAATGACTCGAATATGACACAATGTAGTCATTAATTATCAAGCGCATAAGA